CATTTGGCAGAGAAGGAAACTAAGGTTCTGGATAAGTGACTTCCCCAGGGCCCCACACCGCCTAACCCGCAGAGCCAGGCCCAAGACCAGGCCCTACCAGCACCAAGTCCAGCCGCCCCTCTGGGCCCCGGCTTCCTTCCCTGGAGAACGGTAGCAGGGCCTGGCGAGGGCGTTTGACTACAGGACAGAGGGGAAGGGCCTGCAGGTCTGACACGCGCCAGGCACCTGCTAAACGTCTGCCTGCAGTTCCTTCTGGGCAGCTGTCCCTGCCCATGTGAATTAGTGGCAGGAGAAATTTCCACTCTGGTGGCACCTTCCACAGCCCAGTTCTAGCCACCCTGCCCAGGGCAGAGTGCACAGCCCAGAATGCTGAGCTTCCTCAGCTCTGGTCAGTGGGAAGGGACACGCCTTCCACGCGGGGCGAGGTGAGGCAAAGGCATTTCCCCTCCGGACTGAGCCCATCCCCTGCTACCAGGCCGCCTCCCAGGGGCCACAGAGGGTGGGCTGTGAGTCCCCACCACAAAGGGGGTCGAGGGCAGAGCAGGCTTATTCAAAGCCAGAGGTGACCCTTCCGGAGCCACCTTTTCTCACTTTTCCCAGGGGGTGCCATGCAAATGGCAACAACACAGACGTGCGACAGCGGGGGCTGGCGGAGTACCCAGCACCCAGCCGTACAAGGGGATGCTGCCTATGTTAGATGGCAAAAGGAATTTGTGAGGATGTGAAAACATGCCCACGGTGTACCGGCAAGCGGAAACCACGCTGTCGAATCTGTTTAGAACAAGTCTCTTTTGTGTATTTAAAGATCCCACTGTCTGCGTGCACATAGGTACACGTACGGGGAGCTCATTCCATACTCCTCTGACCCACATGTGCGTATGTTTTATTCGCCGCTCTGTGTATTGCCTAACTTTCTTTTCCTTAAACGGTCTGGAGAGACCTTAACGAACCCAAGGATGGGATCTGGGGAGGAAGCCTACAGGGGAAGGGGGTGGAAACTTCCCTTTTCACTCCGAACTTCTGTGCCATTTGTGTTGTGACAAGCACATGGGACCTTTATATTAAGTGCAAAGACAATCAATAAAGACATTTCCAAAAAACAATACATCTCATGCAGAGCTGAGTGTCTCCTGTTTGGGGCAGAGAAGGGGCTGGAAGTTCTTCTGGGAGCTTCCCTCATGCCTGTTCCACCCCACTATCCCTTCACAGCCCCACTCACCTTGGAATAAGCCTTCCCGCCTTTCAGCTCCTGCACAGAGAGACAGAGACACAAGCAGCAGCGTAACTGGGGAATCCAAGCGATCTCGGGCATCTCCCTAGGTGCCTCCCACCCCACACCAAATCTGACTGCTGGGGGGGAAGACAAGCCAAGGGGCAGAGCGACTCATTCCATGCTCTCTCAAGGGGACAGGTCAGGGGATGGGCCTAAAGCCACTGGACCAGCGGCCTCACACCCGCCGCCTTGGCCTTGGGCCCGCAGCCCCCCGCCCCAGCCCGGAGCCCAGCCTCACCTTGCGCACCGACACACGGAAGATGCAGGGGTCCAGCAGGCCGGTGGCCGGGTTGGCGCTCATCTTACACACGAAGGTGAACCTCTTCCGCCACCGCACGCAGTTTTCCCGCACCTCCTCCCTGCAGGGCAGACAGACAGGTGAGCACAAGCAGGCAGGTCAGCACAGGTATCAGGGACAGGGCTGGCCTTTAGGGAGTAGAGGGAGGAGGGGAGCTCTGGCTTTTTACTTTGTATCAGAGAGTGACTGTGTTTTCCTAACAAGAACATGCTTGTGTAAGTGTTGCAAAAACAAAAATAGTAAGTGATTAAAAGTGAAAAAACACAAGGTAGGGGTGAGGTCAGGCTGGAGGCAGCTACTCCTTGTCCCTGCTCCCAGCACTGCCCCCTCCCCTTGTCCTGTGGCTCCTTCCTCTGCCATTACCTCCCACTGGCCCCTGACCATTCTGTTCGGCCGACCTTCCTTCACAACAGTCTTCCCCAGCAGACGAAAAGCGAGGTGAGCTGCCCAGTGTCGCCCAAACAGGAAACAGTTGGCCTTCGGAGACCATTTCTTTGCCACTAACAACAACAATGATAGTAATAATAGCCATGTCTAGCGCTCGGATCGCACTTCACACGTGCTGGGCAGCTCTCACGGCACTTTAGTGGGGCTGCTCCCAGGGTCAGAGACCCACGATCACGCCCGCCCTTCCAGCAGCTGTCTGGGACGGCTATTACCCTTAGCCCCATCCCACATGCACAGACGCCGGAGCTCAGGGGGCTAGCATGCTGGCCCGAGGCCCACCGCAGGCACAGCAGAACAGGGCCTTGACCTTGAGCAGTGGGCCCCAGGGGCTGCATGCGTCACTCTCACCATACCGGCCTGAGACACCACCTTGGGGTCCTCGGCTTCCCTGACACTAACTGGGGGTCTGGCCTTCCGGCCCGCACTCCTGCTACACCTGGGAAGTATCACCAGACCGAAAACCGCAACACACCCTTAATAGGGAAATGCTTCGTGCCCTGGGAGCCAGAGCAATGCCAGGAGCTCCCCCAGCCTCTCCCGGCTGCTCGGCAGGACCTGGGGTGGCACTGGTGAGTCTGCATCCCTGCACAGCTCCCCGGCCCCCCACAGCCCGCCTGGCAGAGCCTGTGCTCAGGAAGGGGTGGCCACGGAAGGGAAGGGACGGCATGAGAGACATTATCTCCTGCTTCATCATCCCATCTAACAGGAACAGCCACGTGGACAGATGAGGAAGTGACCGCCCTACACCCCGGGGGACCCGAGGATCACAGGTTAATTGTCAGACTGGGGCCTGAGGTTGGAGGGTCAGCGCAAGCAGAGCATCATTGGAACGGGGTCGTGTTTGCTTCTCGCACGACCTCAGACAGTAGGCTCTATGCCACCCCCTTCTACCGCTGAGGGCACTGGGACCCCAAGAGACTGCCCCAGATCACATCCCCAGTGACTGACAGTGCAGGATTTGAACCCAGGACTGTCTGACTGCAGTCAAAGCATTTGGCCATCACCTTGGTTCACAGGCCCCAGAGCCGGGGAAGGCCTGGCAGGTGGAACCCACCAGGGTTCTGGGGCCAGCAGTGCCCTGCGATGTACCTGAGACCCCACCAGTGTCTCTGACTGACAAGTATGAGTCAGGCACTGAGCCTGTGGTGGACTTTATTCACAGACCGACAGTGACAGTTACCCCGGTGATGACTCAGTGTCACCAGGAGGGGGTGGAGGGAAGGGTGAGTCAGGGTAGATGACTGACTTGCAGGGGGGTGACATTCAAGCTCAGGCAGGAATGAAGAGAGGGGAGTAGCCAGTGGGGGAGACAGTTCCAGGCAGAGGAAACAGCATGAGTGAGGAACAAATATACTTTGGTTTCCTTGGCTATGAAAACCCCTGCGCCAAGCCTCTCTGAGGAGCCCCCTCCGGACTCTACAAGGCTTCTCCTACATCCTGTCGGGGCCGTGACGAGGGACAACAGGACTTGGGTCAGGCAGACCTGGGCTCACGGCCCTCAGATCACTGAGTGACTCAGCGAGAGCTCGACCTCTCCACCCTCATGGGCAAAACAGGCACGCCACCCGCTGACTTGTGGGCACCAGGAGGCATCAGTAGGTCCCTCAAAGGCCCCAGCCTGGGGAGGTCCGTGAGACGTGTCTTGCGTGATGAAGACACTGGGGGTCCAGAGGGACTGTCCCCAACGTGCTCTGACCTTGTTAGGAAGGGGAGCTCCAGCGACTCCCTGCAGCCCCAGTACTGGCACAAACAGAAAAGGTTGGGGCTAGAGACGAGGGGGAGGGAGAAGAGTGCCCAACCCCCAGCAGACGTGGCAGGGACCTTCAAGAAGCGGGTGCCACAGGGGGAGCAGGGGCCCCGGGCTGGGGAGCAGCCCCTGCCGCAACCATGCTGGTTCCACCCATTCATTCAAATATGTGCCAGTCCCTGTCCTACACACTGGGACCACCGCAGTGACCAGCTTACATTGTGGTGGGACAAAAACGAGGTCAAGCAAACTAGAAAAAGAAATGGTAGTGGGCGGAAAGAACTAGAATTACCTTTATTGGCAGATAATTTGAGCTTGTATGTAGAAAATCACAAAGTGGGGCGCCTGGGTGGCGCAGTCGGTTAAGCGTCCGACTTCAGCCAGGTCACCATCTCGCGGTCCGTGAGTTCGAGCCCCGCGTCAGGCTCTGGGCTGATGGCTCGGAGCCTGGAGCCTGTTTCCGATTCTGTGTCTCCCTCTCTCTCTGCCCCTCCCCCGTTCATGCTCTGTCTCTCTCCGTCCCAAAAATAAATAAACATTGAAAAAAAAAATAAAAAAAAATAAAAAAAAGAAAATCACAAAGAATCCACCAAAAACTATCAGAATACAAGAGTTTAGCAAGGTTTCAGGATACAAGATCAGTAAACAAAAATCCATTATTTCTATATACTAGTGAACATCCACCATGAAATGAAGGAAATAATTCCATTTACAGAAAAGCCAAAAAGAACACAATAAATAGAATCAAATTTAACAAAAGAAGTACAAAATATATTCTCTGAAAACTACCAAACATTATTGAAAGAAATTCAAGAAGATCTAAATAAATGGAAACACATCCTACAGTCATGTTTCAAAAGATCTAATCTTGGTGTGACAATACTAGCAAATCGATCTAAAAATTTAACACAATCTCAGCTGGCTTCTTTGTAGAAATTTGACACCTTGGCCCTAAACCTTCGAAATTTAAGGAACCAGGATAGTCAAAGCATCTAGAAAAAGTGGAACAGAGCATAATCAAAGGATTCAATGTCTCTGGCTGCAAAACTTCTACAAAGCCACCCTAATCAAGAAAAGATGGTTCTGGCCTAAGGATGGACACCTAGATCATCGGAATGGAATTAGGAGCTCAGAAATAAACCTTCACGTTTATGGTCAATTGGTTTTCAGCAAGGGTGCCTGCCAGTAGGGAAAGAGGGTGGTCTTTAACAAAAGTTGCCGGGACAATGAGATATTCCTGTGCGAGTGAATGATGTAGGACTCGTGTCTCACACCACATACAGTAACTAACTCAATATGAATCAAAGACCTAAATTTAAGAGCTCAGACCCTTAACCGCCTGGGTGGTTCCAGGTGGTTAAGCATCTGACTGACGGGCTCAGGTCATGATTTCATCGTTTGTGAGTTTGAGTCCTGCATCGTGCTCGGCACTGACACTGTGGAGCCTGCCTGGGATTCTCTCTCCTTCTCTCTGCCCCTCCCCAGCTTGTGTACCCGCTCTCTCTCTCTCAAAATAAATAAATAAAAACTTTTTTTTTAATGCCCAAATTATGAAAGTCTTCAAAAAAATATAGGATAAATCTTTGTGATCCGGAATTAGGCAAGGGTTTCTCAGATAGGACCCCAAAAGAACAGGCAACAAAAGATAGAAATGCTGGATTTCAGGGGCGCCTGGGTAGCTCAGTTGGTTGAGCATCCGACTTCAGCTCAGGGCATGATCTCGTGGTTCGTGAGTTCAAGCCCCCTGTCAGGCTCTGTGCTGACAGCTCAGAACCTGCAGCCTGCTTCAGATTCTGTGTCTCCCTATCTCTCTGCCCCTCCCTTGCTGACACACACTCTCTCTCTCAAAAAAAAAAATAAAATAAAATAAAAAAAAGAAACAGCTTTCTCAATATTGAAGACACATTAAAAAAAAATGTATAGGCACATAAAAAAAAGAAATACTGGATTTCATCAAAATTAGCCTTTTTTGTGACTCAAAGGGCACCATGAAGAAAGTGAGACAGTGGCTCAGTCAGTTAAGCATCTGACTTCAGCTCAGGTCATGATCTTGTGGTTCACGGGTTCAAGCCCTGTGTCGGGCTCTGTGCTGACAGCTCAGAGCCTGGAGCCTTGCTTTAGATTCTGTGTCTCCCTCTCTCTCTCTGCCCTGCCCCCACTTGCGTGCGTGCGCTCACGCGCGCACTCTCTCTCTCTGTCAAAAATAAACAAACATTAGGGGTGTTTGGGTGGCTATCAGTTAAGCGTCCAACTTTGGCTCAGGTCATGATCTCACAGTTCATGAGTTCAAGCCCTGCATTGGGCTCCGTGCTGACAGCTCAGAGCCTGAAGCCTGCTTTGGATTCTGTCTCTCCGCCTCTCTCTGCCCCTCCCCTGCTCTCTCTCCCTCTCTCAAAAATAAACATTAGAAATAATTAAAAATAAATCAATAGTGAGAAGGCAACCCACAGATGAAGGAAACTATCTGCAGACCAGATACATCACAAGGGAATTGTCGCCAACCAATATGTAAAGGGCGCTTACAACTTAACAGTGAAAAACAACCCAATTTAAAAATGGGCAGATGATCTGAACACACATTTCTCCAAAGAAGATACGCAAATGGCCAACAAGCACATGAGCAGCTGCTCAACATCATTCGCCATCAGGGACACACAAATCAAAACTATAATGAGTTACCACTTCATACGCACTGGGAAGGCTATAATCAAGACCGATAATAACAAGTGATGGCGAGGGGGTGGAGACACTGGAACCCTCCTACACAGCTGGTGGGAATGTAAATCGGTGCACCCCCTTTGGAAAACAATCTGGCAGGTCCTCAAAACATTCAACTCAGAGTTACCTTATGACTCAGCAATGCTACTCCTAGGTGTATATCCAACAGAAATGAAACATATGTCCACAAAAAAAACAGATTGTGCATGAATGCATACAGCGATATTCGTAACAGCTCAAAAGCGAAAGCTACCCAAATATCCATCAACCGGTGAATGAATCCATTAAACGTGGTCTATCCATTCAGTGGAATTATTGCTCAGCAATCAGAAGAAATTAAGCACTTAACACCTGTTACCCCGTGGCTCAACCTTGTGATATGCTAAATGAAAGAAGCCAGTCACAAAGAACTGCATGTTGTGTGATCCCACTTACATGAGATGTCCAGAATGGGCAAATCGCTAAGAGATAGAAAGACTGGTTGGTGATTGCCAGGGGCTAGGGGATTCGGGAGAAAATAGCGAGGGACTGCCAATGGGTATGACGTTTCCGTCTGGGGGTGATGAAAATGTTCTAAAATTGACTGTGCTGATGGCTGCACAACACTGTCAAGAGACTAAAAGCCACTGAAATGTGTGCTTTAAACAGGTGAAAAACCAAAAAACACGGTAGGCCGGATAAAGAGAGAAAACTGGAGAAAACAGAGGGGGTGTGGTTGGTGAGGGAGCAGGGGGTTAGGTGTCATGAGGGGCCTCAAGGGCCCGGGTGAGGTCTTTGAATCTTATTCTGACGGTGCCTCTGTCTTGCCACGACGGCTTTAGGCACAGGCAGAGAGCAACCCTGGAGTAGGTGGGTGGAAGGGTGGAAAGC